TCTTACCTCGTAACAATCTAAGAATTATATCAAGGGCCTAAGAATCCTGGGGGGGGGGGGGGGAGGTCAAACCATCCAATAAATATGTATTTTGATGCCGATTTGGAGGATGACCAAAACATCATACAAGGGTTGAGTGTCTTCCATGATGTGATAGGGATGGCTAGCCTTCCACAATAACAAATCTTAATATTCATTTCAGTCTTTTGGAGATTGTATACATGTATACAAAGAAGAGAGAAAGAGGTTGAATAAAGGTTTAGATAGGTGGGAGGTTTGAAATTTAACGTTACTAACGTAAGATGAGGGAGATAAGTAAAAAAGAAAATTTTGCCTTCATATAAGGTGCACACTTGGGGAGATAACGACCTAAATTAGACGGAAGGTGAAAAAGGACCATCTATGATGCTTTTTGAAATCATAGTGTAAATTATGAAGCGTTTATGAAACTTAGGCACATGAACACCTTACCACTTTTCGTTAACTACGAGGTCTGTTTTATAAAATTAATCTGTATTTATAATCAAATAGGCATCCTTAATTTTGTTATAAATTATAATATTAGCAATGATATTTTTATCACATATATATGCTTTTAATTAGCAACATCTCACTTTTATCATTTACCTAAAATTATTTTGTATCTTCACATAAACTTATATCAATTTCCATTACCTTTTGATGGAGCAAGATTAAAATAGTATTGCCCAACATTATAGATGCCTCACTTTTATCATTTATCCAAAATGACTTTGTATCTTCACAAAAACTTGCTTCAATTTCCATTATTCTTTGATGGATCAAGATTAAAATAGTATTACCCAACATTATGAAAGCCTCAGTTTTAATTCCATCATAGGCTTCATTTGACCGAATGTTGTTGCAATATGTGCTCAGGCCACCGGGTCTTCTGTGTTGGATACAAATCAGAGATCTAGAGGTGATGCCATCAGCGTGTATCCGGTGAGATACCTAAGCTACAGTCACAACAAAGTCGTTAGAGTTGCCGCGTGGATTGTGCCCCATGAGGAAGCTCTGACGATCAAGTTAGATCTGTTGGTAGATATGAGATGGTTCTACCTAGCTGGAGAGAACCATCTTAGTGTGTAGAGTGTATGTTAAGCCATGGAGGGTCTAAGTTAGAGAAGGTGACTAGAAGCTTGTTAGAAGCTACCTCCTCAAGGAGGAGGAAACATTCTATTTATATGGGACGATTAGGTCAAGAAAGAATTAGGTCAGGCCTTGGGCCAACCCAACTCAGACCCAGCTAGCAAGTAGCTGGGTAAGAGCGCCCAAACGCTAGGTAAGAGCCAGGCGCGGGCGCCAGAAAAGACTGATAGGATAGCACCAGGAAAGGCTGGTGCGCCAAGTATTGACATTTGGGCCATGCTAATGGACCATATGTTAACAATTGCATAACTAATTTGAGAAATTTCTTATTTTTAGTATTGGTTATTTTGATCTTTTCCAGCACTTACTCTTAGATGCCAAATGGGTTCTTCCTCCACATTTATTTCATTTTGCTTGACATTTATTACAATATGTACCTTTTGAAATGCATAATTGAAATGTTGAATTCTTTTAGGTATTATTCATTTTGATATAGGGATAATGACTTGAGAAGGTAATCAACTATACCCTTTGTAGATATTTGGTCACTTAACTTTTTTGGTGCACTGTTAACCCTTAAACTTGTTCTTTTGTTTAAAACATACCACTATTACCTACAATAGCATGTAAAACATTTTTGGGGGTCTGAGTTCCACCTCCAGCGATATTTCTGACATTTCTTACCTCTGACGACATCTCCGATCGTCTTCTCCAGCCACATCAAATCTGGAATATGTTTTTGAGTTATTGTGTTTCTAAAATGGAGTTATTTGAGCATCTTGTTATGAAATATGAAAACAAAAACGAGTTCTTGATTTCATTTATGCAAGAACTCCAGATCTACCATCGTTTACCAGGAAAATCAAGTTTTAAAAGATGAAATCGTTTTCAGTTGTGTTCAAAACTCAATTTTGGAAGATGAAATCGTTTGCGGTAGGTTTTTGAAGCTCGGGTTTTTGTGTGTTCATGTTTATCCTCATCTGAGGTCATCAGGTATGCAAATTTGAAGGATGAAATTGATTTCAGGAACACATATATGAAAGAGGAAATCGTGGGTTCATCTTTATCTTTATCAGCTTCGATTTCAAGAACACAACTTTAAAATCGAGGTTTGAAGCTAGGGTTTTTGTGTGTTCATGTTTATCTTCATATGTGTTCGTTTTTTGCAAATCTTTAGGAGGAAATTGATTTCAGGAGCACAAATTTGAAGGAGGAAATCGTGGGTTCATCATTGTTCATCATCTATATTAACGAACCTACAACACCTTCGAATAACATCACAAACATCAGAAATCATCTCCACTACCACCATCAAGAACTATCACACCTACACCTATGTCTTCGTTTACCATCAGTCGAACACCCATGACATATTTTAAGTTCATCCATGGTAATTCTTTCGAGTTTAAACCCTTCATCCATGGCAGATTTGAACTTTGTTTCTAGAACCCTTCATCTTCCTCGAACCATAACTCATTTCTGAGATAAACAAACTCTAACAAGAATCAAATATTTGAATCATTATGTGTGTGTGTTCTGGAAACAAAAGATAAGAAAGAGAGAAACAAGAAATCCGAAAAATGTGTCCAGAACTCATCACGCCGGAAAATCTTTTTTGGCCGGAAAAGATAACCAGAAAAATAATATTTGGTTGGAAAAGACGTCGGAAACTAAAACCCTCTATTACCGGTCATAATGATATATTTTAAACGAAAAACAAGTTTAAGAGATAATAATACACCAAAAAAAATTAAGTGACCAAATTTGTACAAAAGATAGAATTAGTTACACTCTCAAGTCATTGTCCCTTAGACATATTTAATATGGTTATATATATATATATATATATATATATATATATATATATATATATATATATATATATATATATATATATATATATATATATATATGTTTCCAAATATGTTGTTTTCATATATTGATGGTATCTATTACGGTAGCATCCATGGAAAAAAGTTTTTTGAAATATAATTTGTTGAAGTCAATTCTTCAAACTATCAGTACTCAAGAAAGATTGCATGCGTTTGTCAATTTTAATTATTAAAAATTAATTTCATAGTCTTGACTATCATAAAAATAATTGATTGAAAATCAATTTCATAGTCTTGACTATCATAAAAATGATTGATATTTTTGCTTATAAAGAATACATGGAGTTTCATGTATCGCTTTAAGTGATTTTTGTAAGTATAAAAGAGGATCCCTATAATGAGTTTGATATTATCTTGGAATTAAAAAGAATCTATCCATTTTGCGACTCTTAACAATTCTCGAGTTATTTATTTTCATTTTCCCTTAGTATGTATGCACGATAAAAAAAAAAAAAAAGTAAAACGTTTTGGCTAGGAATTGTGAATATGAATATAGAATATCAAAGATGCTAATTGAATAGGATTTCTAATTGTGTCACAATATTCTTGTCACCAATAATTGAGTACATATCTTTTTCAACGTTTTGTTATATTGATCCTATCGTTGAACTCATCTCACACTACTGCAAATATCTCGTCCAATATTCTAGGGAACCTTTCGTGCAACACACCGACCTAATATTCTCGTTGTATGCATAATGCATGAGTTCACAACCTTAAGGATCCAGGATGTCAGTGTGGAATGCTACCAATATTACAACCTACACTTCCTAATTTTAATAATTATAAATTAGTTAAGTCAAATATGTCAAATACCATCACTATCGAAAAAAAAAAAAAAAAAGACGCATAACAAAAATAAAAATTCAAAATGAAGACAAAGTTACCTTTATATAAAAAAAATATATCAGGAATTGGGATGAAAACTGAGTTTTGATAAATTCGTTTGGATAAATGTAGGACCATGCAATCATTTTTCTTGAAATTTATTTTCTTCTTATGCATGGGGTTTTACAAATAATTTCTTAAGATGATCTCTTATTTAAAAATAAAAAAAATAAAAAAAAAAACCTCAAATTCTTAGACACTAAAAAGTAAGCAATATGTGATTGATGATTCGTATTGGAATGTTAAAAAATCTATTAAGAGTTCCAAAAGTGATGTTTTATGAGTATTCACATTTATTCTATCTGAAAATTGGATAAGAACAAAGAAATACGATTTTGTGCTAAATATATTTATCGATTGAGAAATTAAATTGATTCCTACTTTTTATGCCTACAAATGTTCCTACCTAATAAAATTATGACAAGTGTCATCATTCCATATTTTTTTAACTAACTCATTAAGGTTATATTATGAATATATCAATTACAATTAAATTGAATGATGATTTGTCATAATTTTAGTTGGTAAGAATAATTGTAGGCATAAAAGTTAGGAGGTAATTTAATTTCTCCGATTGAGAAATTAAATTGATTCCTACTTTTTATGCCTACAAATGTTCCTACCCAATAAAATTATGACAAGTGTCATCATTCCATATTTTTTTAACTAACTCATTAAGGTTATATTATGAATATATCAATTACAATTAAATTGAATGATGATTTGTCATAATTTTAGTTGGTAGGAATAATTGTAGGCATAAAAGTTAGGAGGTAATTTAATTTCTCTTATCGATTTGATCTCAAATTGATAACTCAGCCCGAAGCAGACTAATCAATCTTATATAAACGTTCATTTTACATCACTGAAATTGTACCAGAAACACCAAAATAATTAATAACCAAATGACAACAAAATCAAGAATAAATAAATAGTACTTGGATCTTTTAAAATGCAATTTTTTGTAGACAAAATTACCAATTTCACTATTTTCATTTGGGAAACAATTTGTGATTGTATCATTTTCTTTTGTACAAAATTTCTTGATTTATATCATTACACTAAATAACAGTGTGAAAAAAAAAAAAAAAAAAAAAAGTACAGAGCGATTTAATAAGGCGTAATGTGAGTTGTCCGAGTCTCGTAACTCGCCAAACATGACTTTGAGTTAACACGGAAAACCTTCACCAAATCCTTACACATTTGCCTCACGATGGCAGAGCAGTTACTCTGCATCACCAGCAACACCTTCGTCAAGCCGTTGCTCCCCATCGCAGCTTCCTGAGCACTCCGATCTCTCGACAGGTAACACACATTCCATATCACGACGATTCCGTTCTCCGTCGCCGCCGTTGAAACCTTCATCAGCCGTTGTACGACGCCGGAGATACAGTTCTCGTCGTCGGATATCGCCACCCGCCCCTCCGTGTTCGTGGATACCATTTCTAGTACCTTCATAGCTTTTTCCATCGCCGTTACTGTATTTTCAGAACCGGACAGGATCCGTCCAGCGGTTCTCACAACCCCCAGCCGGAGGAGCTCCTTTTTGGCCGGCCTGGATGTGGAAATCGCGATGATAGCGGCTAATCCGGCATCAATTGCCGTCTGATTTGTTAACGTGTTGGTAAGATGACAAAGCTCGTTTAATAAGCCTTTTTGCTCGGCGATTAGTCTTCGAGATTCGTAATCGAACAGGGCGAGTGATTCCAAAACTCTAGCGGCGCTAATTCTTGCTTCAAAGTGGCCTTTCTGAAGAACCAAAATGAACGGCGAAAAGAAAGCATCATCCAAGTTGATTTTCTTTAATCGTTCTTTGACTTCTTTTGTAAATAGAATCAGATCCAAAGTGGTAACCACTAATTCAACGACTTCAACTTCATTGCTGCTTTTCAGAATCCTCGCCAACATTGGAAGGAATCCCTCCGAATTCGCCAAGGATTCTCTACCTTCATCAGAGAATTTTGCCAATTCGACGATCTTCGACAATGAGCTTAACAAAACTTCATCGGTTTCTTCGCTACTGATCAATTTTCTAATGGACTCAATGGCTAAATGGTTGTTGAAGCTGGCCTGTGATTGGGGGCAGAGGAGATAGGAATCGGACCAGAAGCGAATGAGGCGGCGGAGGGTGAGGTTTGGGACGACGTCTGTGGAATTGAGGACTTGCATGGTGGCGGGACAGGTGTTGTGGCCGGATTCCAGCCATTTTTGAATGCTGGTCCGATCGTAGGTGACGCCGGTGCAGAGGCTGACAGGGGATCTCATTACGTCCATTGATATTGGGCACTTGAAGAAACTGGGAACACTCAGATATAAATCGTTCATCTTTTCCCTCACCATTACTGTTTCTTTTTTCTGTAAGAAAGAATTTGTGTTTGTTTCTCTGTGGGTGTATGTAAGAGAGAGAGAGAGAGAGAGAGAGAGAGAGAGAGAGAGGTCGGAATATGAGATACAGGGAGTGGGGGTTTTGAAGGAATGAAGGAGTCAAATCGTCAATGAGATGATATGACGTCGTTTACTCAACGATTCATTGTTCTAAATTTGGTAAAAAAAAATTATGGCTAATTTTTTTTGTGAACGTACCAAAATGAATATTAGATAGTAAAAATATAACTAACTTGGTTCTTAAAAAACAAAAAAAATAAAATGATGAGATCAAATTTAAAGGATGTCGGATGTTTGTTTGAAAAACACAATCTACTAATCAAAAAGAAAAATATAAGAAAACCACATTAAAAATATTTATTTGTAAAAATAAAAAACTATTAAAAATATGGATACATATAAATATCTAAAAATATCTAAAAAGTATATTTGTAGAAGTGGAATCTTAAAAAAACAAAGTTGTACGTAAAAAATTAAAAATAAAGTAATTAACAAGATAAAAAAGTTGTTTAAACCATATAAAAGCAAAGTTTGTAAAAAAAGGACAAATTTTAAACAAAAAAAGTTAAAGTTTTGGCAAAATTGAAAGAAAGAAAATTAGGTTTGTAAAAAAAATAAAATTGGGTTAAAGTATACAAAAATAAAAATTAATGGGTAAACAAATAAAATACGACTAAAATGGAATGGGTAATATGAAAATTTCAATCAAAAGATAAAAGATATAGTTTTGGATAAACTGTGGAATAAAGAGAAACCACAAGACTAATATTGTAAGAATGTAGCATAAAAATTGTCGCATGTAATTGATAGAATATATTACCATTTCAATCAAAACAGAAACCACAAGATTAATAGAACGTTATATTATACTTACTTACTATTTAATTGATTATTTATTATCATTTATTACTATTGAAAAGTATAGTTAATTATCTCTAAATATTATTAAAAAATAACCTTTAATTTACTAATGAAGCAATCAGATCTTTGATTGTTTTTCAATCATATGTTTTCCACTATTACATTAAATTGATCACATCATCTTTTCCAAATAGAATTCAAACATAATTACATTTAATTATATAATTTTTAAATTCAATAATTATTTTATCAATTGAAACATATCATTTTATTTATATAGAAGATATCAATTTCTATAATTAATATTCTTTCTAATTTAATTCTTTTATTTATAGCTTTTGGCTTCAAATTTTAAATCCATTTTTTTTTTGAAATAACTCTTTAAATAAACTAATCATTAATTTGGTTATTAACCTATAAAATCTAATATAATCCAATTAAATCTGCAAAATATTTGAGAGTTAAAATTAAAGACACTATCATTCATAATTTATCTCACAGAATATCCCACGTAAAATAAATCGATTTGAGATAATGATTTGAATTTTAAAACTCATAAAATAAGCAAGTCAATTAACATGTAAATTTGAATCAATATAACTGATTTTTTTTTTCTAGATTAATAGCCTGAAATCTCCAAGATGATATCTTAGGATCCAAAAATTTTAGAAGATAATGATTTGATTATTCAAAAACACCCTATATATATACGATTACATTGAAGTTGTCATTCTTACGATTTTGGATTGAGTCCTACAATTTACAGTGTTCTTCTTTAATAATTTTCTTCTTCATTTCTTTTTTCTAGGTTCTTTCTTTACTTTGTTCTCCTTCCAATTCTCCAATTTCTTGCATTTACTCTATCTTCTTATTACATGTTATTATTGTATTTATGTTGAGAGGCCATGAAAAAAATTAATCAATCTACTTTAAGCATATTAGTTTCATTCATATCTAAATATTATTACAAGAGAACCATTAATTCACCAATGAAGCAATCAGGACCATTGATTGTATTTCAATCATATGTTTTCTACCCTTAGATTAAATTGTTGACATTATCTTCCCCAAATAAAAATCAAACATAATTACATTTAATTTTAGAATCTTTAAATTCAACAATTATGTTATCAGTTGAAGCATATCATTCTATTTATATACGATATATCATATTTTATAATTAATATTGTTTCAAATTTAACTCCCTTATTTATAGCTTTTGGTTTAAAAATTCAAATTCGTTTATTTATTTATTTATTTTTTAAAAAACTCATTAAATAATCATATCAATAATTCGGTTATTAACCCACAAAATGTAATATAATCCCATAAAATCAACAAAATATTTGTGAGTCAAAATTAAAGTCAATATTATTAATAATTTGTTTTCCAGTATATCCTATGTAAAATAAATCAGTTTGAGATAACAGTTTGAATTTTAAAACTCATTAAATAAGAAAATTAATTAATTTGAAATTTTGAATCAATATAATTGATATCTTTTTTCCAGATGGATAACCGAAAATCTCCAAGTTGATATCTTAGGATACCAATTTTTTGGAAGATACTGATTTCCTTATTCAAAAATACTATAGATATATATATATATATATATATATATATATATATATATATATATATATATATATATATATATATATATATATATATAAACACACACATAATTACATTGAATTTTTTATTCTTACGATTTTGGATTGAGTCGTACGATTTATAATGCTCTTCTTCAATGGTTTTCTTCTCCATTTCTTATTTCCAGGTTCGTTATTTACTCTGTCTCCTTCTTCTTCTCTAATTTTTTGCAATTAATCTGTTCTTATTACCTGTTATTATTATATTCTTGTAGAGATGTCATAAAAAAAATTAATCAATCTACTAGAGGAAAGATACGTGCTAACATTTTGAATTTGTATTACCCTCCAGAAACCAATCATAGTCTCATAGACCATTTCCCACATATCTTAATAGGTCTTAGCATTCCCTCAAATTCAACTACAAGAAGTCATGGATGTACTTCTTGAATCAATCATCTAAACTGAAATTCATTTGTTAGTTAGATGCAGTGACCAAAATGCAAGATTTGTGAAAGTTCATTATTATTTATTAGTGTTAACCTTTGGTAAATTATGAAACTAATATTATATTTTTGTTCATAACAAGGCTTTTTTTTTTGTAATAATTTTTTTTGATCGTAAGATATGTATATCTGATTAGGTGTAGCCTGAAAAATCATATTTTATTCTTATAAGGATAAGATGTTTTAGAAATTGACCAAACTACAATGTTTGAGTTTGATTTTTATGGCTATGGCAATGCACTTTAATTGTAATGTTTATCAAATTTCTTTATAGAATTTAACGTTGCTAGTACATATAACAAGTTATTGTTGCTTTTGGTTTTATATGACCAATATGAAAAGTGTCATATGAGCCTTCGTGGGGGTTTTTATACCGAACAAAGTCAATTTATAAAGCTACTACACAACATGTATTAATCAATGAGTCGTATCATGTTGTGGTCAAACAAATATCACGTGGATCATTTTTGTTAAAAATTATTGTATTAAAATACCAAATTGCTCTAATATAAATATTAAATATTTTTATTTAATAAGTTTGGTTCAAAAACTCAAAATGAATCTAACTAACATTTTTTTTATTAAAATTTCACCTAAAACAATACCATCTATTAATGTGATGTGTATTTAATTTATATTTTTTTTGTTTAATGCGTGTCATAATCTAGTTTAGTATATATTAAATTGTCAATATATTATGAGAATGTTTCATACATCTAAAACCCTTATATTTTAGTTTTAAACTATTTTTTTTTCTTTAACTAATTAATTATTTTAAATATTGTTTTTTTATATATGAAACACTTATATATTAATATCTAGTGATAAATATTTTAAATATTTCATATTAAACTATGACGTGTTTAAAAACAACTAACAAAATGAGGAGTTTTTATAAAATATTTTAGATAGATGTAGAATAATATGTTAAATTTATTAAAAAAAAGTTATTGGAAAAGATTAACCATTAAAAATACTGTTTAATTACAGATCAAAATTAATAGAATAATAAAATGACAATGATATTAAGGATAGCATAGGTTTACAATTGGAATTGTTCTAGCAATTCAAATAAGGTTAAACATTTAAAGGAGCAGACAATTCGTGAAAATAAATAAATTTGGCTTATATTGTTCTGAACTAATAACTTATTTAATTAGTTTATTTAAGGGTAAGATCCATAAAATAATTAAGTTTTACAAAAATTTGATTTTAATATATATATATATATATATATATATATATATATATATATATATATATATATATATATATATATATATATATATATATATATATATATATTAATTTTGATACTTCGTTTACCAATTTGTTCTGGTTATGATCACTTAACTAGTCAACCAAGCATGACATGATAACAAGATATGATGATGACGTAGCATTAATTCATATCTCAGATTTGGGTTTCAAAGTTTTTAAAAAAATTAAAATATAATGATTTTTGAGATAGTTATCTAAAATATAGTGACTTTCATGATGTTTCAAAAATATAATGACTTTTGTGATAGTTATCCAAAATATAGTGATTTGTTTAAACAAAATTTTTTTAGGATAACAAATGTATTTGAAATAAGTTTATTGGCTTGTACATGTATAGACCATATTGATACTTAGAAATTGCCTTCAATCTTTGTACATGTATAGATCATATTGATACTTAGAAATTGCCTTCAATCTTTTTAGGTGGGAGAAATTAATAATTATTTTCTTGTTAGTAATAACAAGTCAAACTTTGAAACATGGCCACTATAATATTTTAGAACATTACTCAACTTTGACACCTAAAATATGATGTCACCGTATAGTGTCACATCATCATCCAATGTCAGCATACGACGTTATTAAAAGTGCTATTTCAACATGTCATGTTAGTTGAAAACCAATTTGACTAGTAAAATACCAATGTGTCTAATTTTGTTTACCAATTTGAGTAAAAAAAAACACTATGTAACAATCAATTTTTGTGAAGACTTAC